GGTGCTGCAGGGCTGCAAGGCTGTGCACTGGGATGGTTCCTGCCCCATGCACGGAGCTCCCCAGGGGCTGCAGGGCAGGTACAGGGCCAGCCAGGCACTCCTGGGTCAGCTGGTCCCCATGGGATGAGGGCTCAGTGTGATATGGGGCCGTTCACTTCCTAACGCTTTCTTTCCTGTCCCTCCTCTGCTGCTGTGTTAGATGCTGCATTCCTGGCAAGGGAGAAGGCAAAAGCTGATGCAGAGTACTACACTGCTCGGAAGCTGGCTGACTCCAACAAGGTGAGCTCTGGGAAGCTGGAAAAACACTTGATCTAACAGCTCACACCCCAGGAGGCAGCTGCCTGACATGAAATGTATTCTGGTTTGAAAGCAAAACCAGTGAGAGACTCCAAGTCAGAAATACAGTTTGTTAGGAAAAGGGAGGAAAACCAAAATACATGCAATAATTCAAAATAAAAACTATGGACAGAGTCAGAATACAACCTGACATCCTTTTGGTCAGGGTGTTGGTAGCAGTCCAAATTGGACTGGCTGCAGTCCTCCTGGAGTGGCAGATGTGGTTCTGTTGGAGCAGTGATCCTGTAAAAGAGTGTACTCTTCCTCTGAAGCTCCAGTGGAAAACCCCAGCTGTTCCTCTGGGAATCCAGTGGAAAGGCTGAGTCTACTGTCCCAAAAACTCAGGTTATATCCAGGTAGGAATGCTTGGCTCCTCCCTCTGGGTGGAGCATCTCACAATGGGATGTTATCCTTCTTATCAGTCACGCGGTGACATTCAGTAGCCCTTATCAGCAGGTGTCTCCCGTGAGAGAGGATTGGTTGTGGAAGAGATAAGGAAAACTGCCCAGTTAGGACAACTGCCATACAGATGGCAAATAGAATACATCTTGCCTTGCAATCTAGGACAGATGTAGTGCTGCAGGACTCAGAAAGTTGTCTCTTAGGGTCTCTGGTTTCTGTTTTGCGTAGCTGAAGCTGACCCCTGAGTATCTGGAGCTGATGAAGTACCAGGCCATAGCTGCCAACAGCAAGCTGTACTTCGGCGACCGCATCCCCGGCGTGTTCCTGGATTCCTGTGCCTTCCAGCAGGCCGGCCTGAGGACTGCCCAGGAAAGCAGCCCTCCTGCCCAGGAAGCCCCAGGGAGCTCTGGAGACAGCCCTGTCAGAGGCCAGGAGAGCACAGGCTGAGGGAGGCAGAGGCAGCCTGGTGTAGCTCAGCAGTGAGCCCGGCTGTGCCCGGGGACGAGGCCCTGTGCCGCCGGGGCGATGCAGCACATGCCTGGACATCTTGTGTATAGGTGGCACTTGGGTTGATTTTCTTCTAGCAACAGATTGCAAGGGCTCTGCCTCTTCTGTTTCTCCCCCTGTTAAATTGGTGCTTCCAAAGGAGGGATAATCCTGTACTAACATACCTATACTGGAATATTAAAGGACAGACAGCAGGAAAGCCTCCTGGGGCAGGAGTTATTTAGCAGGCATTGCTCTGCAGGAAGGAGAAGTGGCTTCGAGTGCTGTGTTGCTGCACACAGGTCATTGCTCAGCACTCCTGGCTGAGGCTGAGTGAAGAGGAGGTTCCCCTTGTCCTGCTGCTGAAGCTTTGCTTGGTGGAGGTTTCTGTTGACGCTGTCTCGCTCTCCTCAAGGACTCCAGTGGAGTGGACTCTCCTTGGCCAGCTTGTTCCTGCTCGGGGTGAGGAGTGGTTTGCTGTGGAATAGGTTATGGGAGTAGGATCTGCACAGCCACGATATTCCTGTAAACAGCAGTGCTAGATAACAACTTGGAGGAAGCAGCCTCTGAAGGGATTCTGCAACCCCTCTCTCCAAGCAAAAGCCTCACACTGGCTGCCTGGGACTGACTCTGGTGTTCCCACTGGGTGGCTGAGTCTCATTGCCTCCTAAAACAGATTTTCAGGAGCACCTCGGAGCAGCTGTTTGGGAACAGAGCCTGGCAAGTCATTGCTCAGATTCCAGCCTCCTGCAAGTCATTCACCAGGGAAAGGGGGCTGAATTTCCACTGCTCTGCCATGCTGGCAAAGTGAAGGGGAAGAGAAGAGTGAAAGGACCCTGCTGTGCAGCAGATCAGATGTTTGACACTGCAGCTGCAAAGTAGGTGAGGCATTGCTGCTTCTCCGTGCAAAATCCACTGCTGCAGGAAGTGGGACCTGCTTTGTGTGTCCTTGAACAGCCACGGCAAGGAGTGTGTCCCTGGCCAGGCCTGCTGGCAGATGGATCTGCCCTGATTTGTGCTGTGATATATCTGACCCTGCTCCTGGTGTGCCGTGGCAGGGTGAGGGAGAGGTGCTTGGGGAGGGGGGAATCTGCTGGGACAACCCTGCTTTCTGCTTTCCCTCCTTCCTCCCCTCTGCTTGTTGAGGGTGTGCTTGCTTTTAGGACCTGCTCCTCCTCGTGTTCTGTGAGGATCTGGGGTGCAATGGCTGGGGAAACAGGTGGCAAGAGCTGGAATGCAATCCTGCAGCTGGGAGCACCCCAGCACTGCCTGCTGCATGCTCAGAGACCTGCTCTCGCTGCTGCTGTCCTGTCCCCTCGGCAGGGGCTGGGGGTGGTGACACTCCAGGCACTCAGCCTGCTGGGGTCTTCTGTCCCTGGCTCCATCTGCAGCCTCATGGCCAGGGGAGGGATGTGTTTAGCTTGTGCCATTGACAAACATTCGGCCCAAAGCAGCTTTGCCTGTGCTGGTGGTGTCCCCAGAGGAGCTGTGTGGGCTCAGGCTTTGCCGTGCTGTGTCCCCACCATGTGTGGCTGGGCTCCAGGGATGGCAGTGTCCCCAGCAGCACACGGTGCCTCCTGCTGCCCTGCTCCTGCCCTGGCTGCCTCTTCTCCATCTCTGGGACACAGCAGGGTTGTGTTGGCCCTGCCCCTCCTGCAGGGTGCGAGATATAACTGTGGGACTTCGCAGCAGTTTCAGGTGGTCGTTCTTGTCCTCTGCCTGCCTGCAAACTCCCGAGGCTCAGTTGATGCTCTGCTCCAGGATCCCAGCTCCTCTTCCAGCCCAGCCATGGCAGGAGCTGGGCACCAGGGCAGAGTGTTCTGTAGTGTTTGAAACGTCCCCTGGAAATGCTGCTTGGCTTGCAGGGCTTTTTTCCTGTGGGATGGGCTTTGAGGAAGCATTGTAGTTGTTTCATCTCTGCCCTGCCACCTCCTCAGTGTTGCAGCAGGCCCTTGGCACAGACACAGCCTCTCCTCACAGCTGCTTTGGTTGGAATTTGGGATCAGGGCAGGCTTTATAGGCTAGAAGCACTGCTGGAGGGAATGCTGCCAGGAATGAAGTCTTCATGTGTGACTGGGGTTGGGCACACTGGGCATCAGGAAGGGCTGGACAGAGTAGGTCTGCCAGCCTGGAAGTGACAAGGGCACGAGGGGAACTGCTGGGAGCAATACCCAGGCAGTTCACACCTCTCCTGCAGTGATCAGAGCAAGATGTCCACGCAGGGAGCAGGAAAGCCTGCCAGGCCAGTGCAGGAAGAGCTGCTTCCCTTCGCATCCGAGCTTGCTGTGCCTCCCTGCGCCGTGACTTTGCCTTCAGCGGCTGTCACCGGCTCAGTGTCCCTCTGTATGCATCAGCCACCTCCCTGCGTGGTCTGAGGGACCCCAGGGGATGCTCCTGTGGTCCCAGGTCCTGCAGCAGCATGTGTGATGCCCAGTGCCTTCTGCAGCAGCCTCCTGCACCCCTCCCTGCTTCCCCGGCCCCCGCTGCAGCAGCCCCAGCGTGTGCAGGAGGGGTGGCCACGGCTTTGGCACCCTGGTGTGGGCTGTGCTGCCCTCTGAGCCCAGCTGTGAGCAGGGACATGGCTGCAGCCAGGATTTTGGGATGGAACTGGCTTTTCTCTCCGCTCCCGTGGCCTGGGTGGGCCTGTGACTAAAGGGGTCTGCCCCTGGATGCGCATCTCCTTAAGGAAACACGATACATCTGGTCAGGTTTACATTCACAGTTAAGTTCTTTTGATAAAGCAGAATAAAATTATTTTGTTACCATTTTTTTGGGATGGTTTTATGTGTCCTAGGGCTGGTGGCACATGAAGTGGGGGACCCCTCACCTCTTTCTCTGCAGCAGCACTGCATGGTGTGGATGTCCTCAGCCGCAGCGGGAGCCCCGTGAGGAGCCTGTGCTCAAAGCAGGCCAGGATGGTGCTGAGCATGAGGGGACTCCCTGCAGCATCCTGGGGCAGCCTGGCTCTGTGTGGCTGGCAAAATGTGCTGCAGTTTGGCCCCTGTGGTTCTGGCACTGGATCAGGGAGTTCAGCTCCAAGCCTTTTCCCCCTTCTGTGATCCCCGCACAGCTCCCTGCCTGCTGCTGCCCCGCTGTCCCCTCCTGCCCAGACACACCCCATGACACCTCTACCTTCAGTCTTTATTAGTATAAAAGCCCTGAACCTAAATTATATCAAAAATGGGAGGCCTGGTTTTACAGCAAGTGGCTCAAAATGGGCACATAAGGGTCATAAATAAATGGCTGCAGTAAAAAGGCTTCCCAGGGAATTCCCTTTTGAACACTCAAGGAATAACTCCAGAGATAAAAGCCCCGTGGGGAGGCCAAGCCCAGCTTGGACCTGCCAGGGCCCCTGGTGACATCCCCCCGTGTGATGTCCCCAGCCAGGGCGATGTTCCTGGGCGCGGTCCCCACGGTGCGGTGCTCCTGCCCCGTGATGCCAGAGCTCCTCTGCAGCCCCGGCAGGGAAGGGCAGGAGGACAGGACACATTCAGGACGTCGGGAGAGAAGGCAGCAGCTCCCAGGGTGTAGGACAGCCTGGACCGACGTGGGTTGGTCCTCCAAACCGGAGCTGGCATTGTCCCCGCTCCGCGTTTCCTTGGGACGCTCCCCCTGGGACAACCGTGAGGCTGCCGAGTCCATTAAGGCACAACTCGAGGATCTGTAAACACTGGTGCCCACCCCAGGCAGGGTCCGAGGGGCCGGCAGGCGATTCAAGTAAGGCTGGAAGCGAGACGATGGCTCCCCAGCTGTGCCACCGGCCCAGCTGTGGCACCCGCCCAGCTGTGCCACCCGCCCAGCTGTGCCACCCGCCCAGCTGTGCCGCCCGCCCAGCTGTGCCACCCGCCCAGCTGTGCCACCCGCCCAGCTGTGCCGCTCCTCGGCCGGCCGCGGTGGCGGATGGAGCATCCTTGGTCACCTCCTGGCTGGGGGCGGCTTCAGGGCCACCTTTGGCGGGGGACAGCGCTGAAAGGGGGTCGGTGGGAGGGACGGTGCCGGCGGCCCCTCGCCGTAGCTCGGCGCTTTGCCCTTCAGCGCCGGGAGAGGTTTGCTGGGCGGCTTCGGCTTCTCCTGGCGGGAGGAGAGACCCGACTGCCTCACCTGGGCACCCAGGGGGGACCCGGAGCGGGCAGGAGCGGAGGAAGGGTCCCCAAGCCCGCAGCCTGTGCCACCGCAGGGACGTGCCCGGCACGGGTGGGGCTGGGCCATGGGGAGGGGTGGGTGGTTACCTGCGGGGGCCATCGCGGAGGGGACAGAGGGGACCCCCGCGGGCCGGGTGCCGGTGGCCGCGGGGCCAGCACAGGGCTGTGGGCCCGCGGGGCCGCCGTGCTGCTGAGCAGGCTGGGCTGGCCGATGTCCCCGAGGGACAGCTGGCGGCGGCCCGCCCGCGCCCGGCCGCCCTCCTGGAACAGCGGGTTGGCGAGGCCGGAGTGAGTCCCGCTGGAGCTCCTGTGGGACGCGGGGACCATGTGGGGTCTGCTCGGGGCAGCCCTGGAGCTCAGCCCCGAGCAGCGGAGACGGGAATTACCCTTTGTGCGAGCGCCGCGCCGCCCTGGCTCTCAGGAGCACCGCGCCGCTGCCCAGCCCGACGGCGGCCAGCGCCAGCACGGCCAGCCCGGCCGCCAGCACCGCGCTGCCGCTCCCTGCGGGAACAACCCGGGGCTCGGCACGGAGCGGCACCTCCCGGCCGGTGCCAGCCCCGCCCCGGGCTCCCTCCCCGGCACCGTACCTGCGGCTATCCCGGAAATCTCCTGCTCGCAGTAGGGCGCTGCCCAGCCGGGGTCGCAGTGGCACTCCCGCCGGTGGTTGCACACCTGGGGGGAGCGGGCAGAGCGGGGTCAGGGCGCTGTGGGAGCCGCAGCAGCTCCGGGAGGGGCGATCCCACCGCCTACCCCGTGGTTGTTGCACTTGGCCGAGCAGTTCTTGTCGCCGTAGACCAGGAGGTTCTGGCAGCGCCCGGCGTAGCAGACCTGGGGGCAGGCAGGGGGGCTCTGAGGCTGCCCCGGGGTCGGCTATCACCCGCCCCGGCCCGGCACGGCCCCGGCACGGCTCTCACCATCTCCTCGCCGCACTTGGCGCCGGTGGGCACCAGCCGCAGCTCGGCCGCCTCGCCGGCGTCGCTGCCCGCGATCACCGCCTTGCACTTGAAGCGGCCGAAGTAGTAGCCGACGGAGAAGTAGCCGGTGCCGAGGATGGGCTGGGTGTTGTCGCTCAGGCACAGCAGCGTGCCGCACTTGACATCTCTGCGGGACACAGCCGTGAGCGACGCCGGGCGGGAGCTCGCCGGGCTGGGACATCCCCCCGCACCCCTGGGACATACCCCCGCACCCCTGGGACATCCCCCCGCACTCCCGGGGCATCCCCCCGCACCCCTGAGACATCCCCCCGCACCCCTGGGACATCCCCCCGCACCCCCAGGACATCCCTCCGCACCCCTGAGACATCCCCCCTCACCCCCGGGACATCCCCCCGCACCCCTGGGACATCACCCCTCCTCCCTGGGACATCACCCCTCATCCCTGAGACATACCCCCGCACCCCTGGGACATACCCCCACACCCCTGGGACATCACCCCTCATCCCTGGGACATCCCCCCGTGCCCCTGGGACATCCCCCCGCACCCCCAGGACATCCCTCCGCACCCCTGGGACATCAGCCCGCATCCCTGGGACATCCCCCCGCACCCCTGGGACATACCCCCGCACCCCCGGGGCATCCACCCGCAGCCCTGGGACATACCCCCGCACCCCTGAGACATCCCCCCGCAGCCCTGGGACATCCCCCCGCAGCCCTGGGACATACCCCCGCACCCCTGAGACATCACCCCTCATCCCTGGGACATCCCCCCGCACCCCCGGGACATCCCCCCGCACCCCTGAGACATCCCCCCGCGCCCCCGGGACATCCCCCCGTGCCCCTGGGACATCACCCCTCATCCCTGGAACATCCCCCCGCAGCCCTGGGACATCCCCCCGCACCCCTGGGACATACCCCCGCACCCCTGGGACATCCCCCCCGCACCCCTGGGACATACCCCCTCACTCCCGGGACATCCCCCCGCACCCCTGGGACATCACCCCTCATCCCTGGGACATCCCCCCGCACCCCTGGGACATCAGCCCTCATCCCTGAGACATCACCCCGCACCCCCGGGACATCACCCCGCAGCCCTGGGACATCACCCCTCATCCCTGGGACATCCCCCCGCACCCCTGGGACATCACCCCTCATCCCTGGGACATCACCCCTCATCCCTGGGACATCCCCCCGCAGCCCTGGGACATACCCCCGCACCCCCGGGACATCCCCCCGCACCCCCGGGACATCCCCCCGCACCCCCGGGACATCACCCCGCATCCCTGGGACATCCCCCCGCACCCCCGGGACATCCCCCCGCACCCCTGGGACATACCCCCGCACCCCCGGGACATCCCCCCGCACCCCTGGGACATCACCCCGCACCCCTGGGACATCACCCCTCATCCCTGGGACATCCCCCCGCACCCCCGGGACATCCCCCCGCACCCCCAGGACATCCCCCCGCACCCCCGGGACATCCCCCCGCAGCCCCGGGACATCAGCCCTCATCCCTGGGACATCCCCCCGCACCCCCGGGACATCAGCCCTCATCCCTGGGACATCCCCCCTCATCCCTGGGACATCCCCCCGCGCCCCCGGGACATCCCCCCGCACCCCTGGGACATCCCCCTGCGCCCCTGAGACATCCCCCCGCGCCCCCGGGACATCAGCCCGCATCCCTGGGACATACTCCCGCACCCCCGGGACATCCCCCCGCGCCCCGTCCTTACTTGGGGCTGCAGGGCTGCTTGCCGTACTCGGTGAGGCAGTGCAGGTGGACGTGCTGCTCGCTGTTGTGCTTGAAGCAGATGTCGGGAGCCACCTGCGCCTCTGCGGGACACACGGAGAGGGTCACACGGAGCCGGAGGCCGCTTTAGGGGCTCGGGATGCAGGAAGGGACCGCGGGGCAGGAGGATGGGCAGGGAGGGGGCCCTACCTGCGCCCCAGAGCGCCCGGCACTGCTCGCCGTGCGAAGGGCAGGCCCCGTTGTAGCAGTAGCCGCTGCCGTGCTGGCAGGAGATGCCGTTCTCCTGGAACACATCCTCGGGGCACTCGGCGCTGAGGCCGCTGCAGTGCTCGGCGAGGTCGCAGTCGTTCTTGCTGGCCCGGCAGAGCGCACCTGCAGCCTTCACCTGCACGGAGAACAGGGGTGTCAGCGCTGCCTGGATGCTCTCACTTCTCCAGGCTCCTCAGCAAAACAGCTCCCCGGTCTGGGAAACTTCTCCCAGCACTCCCTGGATCCCGATTGAGCCGCTGCACAGCACAAACACTCCTCCAGGGCTCGGACCGGCTCTTCCCCGACTTCAGAGCCTGCCGAGCCGCTCCCTGTGGGCGGCAGTACCTTGCAGTCCTGGCAGCATTCCCCTCGGGCACACTCGGCTCCCTCTCTCAGCTGGCACGTGGTGGCATTGCAGCAGCGGTCTGAGCACTCCTGCGAGACAGGGATGGACTGAAATCCTCCTGGAAGCCCCCTGAAGGACCCTTTCCTGCCTTTCTGAGGGGACCCGGCTGCCGTGTCACCAGGTGCCCATAGCAGTGTAGCTGGCACGGGCTGAACCACAGGCAGGTTCAGCATCCCGTGTGGGGACCTTTCCTGCTGCCTCTTTATCCCCATGACCAACACCAAACCAAAGGACCAGAAAGGATTTTTTCAGAAGATGGAGCCTGAGCTGGTTCCCTTAGCACGTCTCCAGGAAGGAGAAAAAGTGAGGATTTCTGTGTTCCCCGGATCAGGGGAGCATTCCTTCAGGTCTGTGGCCAGGGATTTATCCCAGAGGCATTGTCTGTCTGCCTCAATTCCAACCCCCCCGGGACATGCTGGTAGGGGTGAGGAACAGCTGAGCACAGCTCTTGGAAGAACAACATGTCCCACGTCTCCTTCTGGGTCACCTCTTTGGAGGACGTGGGGGAGCATCCATCTTTCCTAAGCTAAAATCACAGCCAGCTACATGAAGGGGGGGAGTTAAAATAACTCCTCCAGTTATTTTTTTTAGCAGAAGCATCAGGAGCACAAGGTGAGGGTCTGCTGGACAGATGTCAGACCCCTGCTGCCCACCCTCCTGGCCAGCCCTTGGGAGGGCATCCCCACCTGGGGCGTGCCGCAGTCGCACTGCTCTCCCCGCTCCACAAACTGGTTCCCGCACACGGGCCCCCCGTACAGCTCGTCCGCCCGCGGCGCGTTCAGCAGGCAGCTGGTCCGGGGGTCCCCCAGGAACTGCCACATGTCCTGCTCGCTGCACCGGCTGAAGAGCTTGGGGTAAACCAGCCTGGAGGGGCACAGAACCAGCGGCTCGTCAGCAGAGCCCGGGGAAAAGCTGCGGGGCCACCCACAGGCTCAGAGGCACCTGCAGAGGTGGGAATCGGAAAACCAGAAAATTTCCACAGGCACGGAAGGGTTTGATCTGCAGCCTTGGGAGAAGCTTGGATTGATGGAAAAATCCAATACACAGACATTAAGCAGAAAAAACATAAACTTATGTTTCTATAGTTGTAAGTAAGAATATGCTTTAAGTTAGTGAGAAACTGCATTGATAAAATGGTGAAGGGTTTATAGTGTAGGGGTGTGGTTGTATGGAATAAGCTGAGAGTTTAGAAGTTGTAACAGAAGCAGATGTGTATAAGTGTGACAGAAGTCCATTAGATAAAAGTATCCACAGTGCAGCAGAAGTAAGTAAAGGTGATGGGTTGGAAAAGCAAAATAAACCTTGTGGCATCTATCCATTGGGTTAGAAAGTTCTGTATTGCCTTGTAACGGAGAACTCGTGACTGCTTTGAGCTAAGGCTGACTGCTTGCTCCTCTAAAATCTCACAGCCTCTGAGACTGATGTTTATCTGAGCAATAAATCGTTCTTAGCCCAAAAATAGTCCCAACCCTTCATTACAAAGTGCTGACAATGATATGCAGTGAGATGGGGTGGGGTGGAATATCTGCCCAGACCTGGCCATCTCACTGTTTTCCCCCCATCAGGGCACCCTGTCAGAAGACACCCGTGTGTATTTGCTGCCCAGGAATGTCCCCCTGCCTCCTTCACTCACCCGACGCTCCCTGCCATGACACAGCCCCCGTCAGCTTTGGGCACAGGGCAGCGGCAGCCGGCCACGTCTTCGTCGTGGGACATGCCCAGGTTGTGCCCCATCTCGTGGGCCATGGTGGACGCGGCGCCGATGGGGTTGGTGCTGTGATCCTGGGGGACAAGGAGTGCAGCGTGGGTTAAATGCCCTTGTGGTTTCTCCACAGCTCCTCCATGTCTCCTCACACTGCCATGCTCAGGTAAGGGACAAGCTGGACGTCTTCCTCTGAAGGTCCTGTGGCCCCTCAAGACATCCAGATTGGTCTATCAGGGCTGTCAGTGAGCTTAGACAAAGTGGCTGCTCCAAAAATGGTGCTTTGTGGTGTGTCTGGGAGGTCACAGTCCCACAGCCAACCTCAGCCTCCTAAAACCCCAGCTCCTGTGTCCATGGAGCTTCTCTGGGAGGCTTTCCAAGTGTACCAAAGGTTCCACAGGTACCCAGCTGGGTGTCCCCAGCCCCAGCACTTCTCTGGGGGTCAGTCACTCAGAGGGCAGAGATGCAGCCTTGAGGCTGCACAGGGGGGCAGCTGGGGAGCAGTGGAGGAGGGGGTGGCTCTGGAGGACGCAGCGCAGGGAGGGCAGAGCACAGGGACCCACCTGGTTGACGCCGCCCGAGTCCCTGGTGCACATCACCAGCTTCTTGGCCAGCCCCACGGTGTTGCCGTGGAAGTCGACGCCCCTGTGGGATTGAGATGCCACCATGACCATGTGCCCTGGGAGGGTGGCAAGGTGGCAGCCCCCCTGTCCTTACGTGATCAGCTGGGCGTTGTCGTGGGGCTTCTTCCGCAGCAGCTCCGACTCCCGCCAGTGCAGGAAGTTGTCCAGCGTCACCTCGGGGTTGGGGCTGACCGTGATTTTGTCCCTGTGGTTCCACACCTCCAGGCCAATCAGGGCCACCCGCAGGCGAAGGGGCTGGTAGAGCTGGGGTGGGACATAGCCCAGGGGAGCCTGGATTTGGGCTGCAGCAGCAGCAGGGAGGTCCCACCTGCCCCAGGGAACTGCAGCCAAGCCCAGGACGCTCCTCACTGGGCAATGTCAGCTCTGTCACCCTCAATAAACGACACAAGCTGGGGTGACCATGGACACAGGATTTGCCCCCAGACCTCTGGGCTCCCTCTTGGCTGGTGAAGGCTGGGATGCAGCTCCCACGCTGCTAACCAACAACTGGGGCTGAAGCAAAGCCATCAGCAAACCCACCACGGCCCAGCTCATCCCTCCCTTTGTTAACAGCCACTCCAGCCTGAGGGTGGCCACAGGATGTGCTCCCAGGGGTTACAGGACAAAATTTCCCTTATGGACAGAGCTGAGCCGCTCATCCGGTCCACTCTGCACATGCAGTTGGCCAAGGGATGTGGTCACCTCACAGCAGCCTCCTGTGGGCCTGAGATTGGCTCCAGCTCCATCACCCCACCCGTGCCAACCCGTGCCACCTCCTGTGTGCCCACCCTGGAGCTGGGAGGGCGGGTCCAGAGCCCTGGGCTCACCTTGTCCACGTGGTTCACGATTTCCTTCATGCGGTTCTGCACGGTGCGGAGGTCCTTGTGCTTCCTGAACTATGGGAAGGACACAGAGGGATTCCCAGGGTGGCTTTGAGCTCCTCACCGCGGGCTGTGACAGCAAACCCACAGACACCAACTGTCCCCACTTTACCTCCTGGTTGTCCGCGACCAGGACCAGCTCCACGTACCGGGGGCCTTTTTGTACTGGCCCTGATTTCTGAAAGGGGAGAGGAAAGTGGGGTTCAGCTTGCAGCTTGCCAAGCCAGGCAGCTGACCCACATCCCGTGGGGTGTGTCGGACCCTGGAGGGCCTTCCAAGGTCAGCAGGTCTCCTAGTTCAGCTCTGGGGTTTCAGACTTCGAGCTTGCATGCTGGAAAACCCAAACCTGCTGCTGGGATACCACAGCAGGCTCTGCAGGCATCACAGAGCCCGTGGGGTGGGAGGATGCTCCTGCCAACCACACAGCATCCGAGGGGGTGTTCCCACCAGAAACCAGCTGTGAGCAGGGACGGGACATCCCCTCCTCCCGGGGGCTTCACGGGAGCAGCGGTGCAATCCCGTCCCTACCCAGCGGTAGAGCTTCATGGCTGCGGGGGTTTTGGGCTCTCGGTCGTACTGCAGGGTGGCCCCGGGCTCCCGGCAGGTGCCCCGTTTCCCCCGCAGGTGAGCTGCTCGGTACACTGCGTGCCGCCCGGCCGCCGCCCCCTCCAGCGGCTCCAGCAGGAAGGTGGTCTCATTCACCCGGAAAAAGCCACTGCGGAGAGAGAGGGCAGGTGTCAGGTTGGGGACACGGGCAGGACACGGGCAGACCCCAGCACAGCCCTGGAAGTGCCTGTGATATGTGTCCCATCCCTGGAATTGTTCAGTGCCGGGCTGGAGGAGTCCAGGTCTAGCAGAAGGTGTCTCTGCCCGTGGCTTGGGGTGGGACTTAATGAGCTTTGAGGTCCCTTCCATCCCAAACCATTCTGGGATTCTACATCAATCCAGCTGCCAGACTGGCTGCTGGGCTGGGAGGGGACAAGCTGTGGCAGGGCACCCCCAGCACGGGGAGTATCCAATACTTCAGGCAGCAGGAATGTCCTGGGGCTCAGCAGCTGAGCCACTAAGGATGGATCCAGTGGGGGCTGGATTTCTGTGGTGTCAGGGCTCCGCTCTCACCCCAGTGCCATCAGTCAGGCCCCCAAAAGTGCTGTGAGCCTTTCCTGCCGGGCACCCAGCCAGGGCCAGCACCTCCAGCAGGAAGAGGGATGTCATCTTCCCTTCTGCAGGGAAAGCTGAGCTCTCACTCCATCAGCACGGCCGGGGCTTTGTCACAGCGGGTCACTGGGGCTTTGTCACACCGGGTCACTGGGCCTTTGTCACACCGGGTCACCAGGGCTCGGACACTCTGGCACACCGTGGCATGTGCCACACCTGGCTGCTGTCCCCAGCCAGGAGCAGGGCTCCAGGGAGCCGGGGCCCTACCTGAGCCCGCCGCAGGTGCTGATGCTCGCTGCCGAGTCGGGCTGTCCCCGTACGTGGCCCTGGTAGAAGCAGTGATCCTGCCGAGAGGGAGGGCAGAGCTGTGGGGGCTGCACGGGTGTGCTGGGGCCTCAGAGGGGTGGGGAAGCTGCTCCCCCCGGAGCCAGCCCCTACCTGGGTGTCCGGCTGCTCTGTGATCTCTGAGCCGTCGGCCGAGTAGTGAGTCTCGGTGTAGTGCTGCCCCAGCAGCGCCCTGGGGGTGGGGAAGGGGCATCAGCTGTGGGAATCCAGGGCTTCCCTCTGGCTGCCCTGGAGGGTCTGGGACCCTGGCAGGGGTCAGGAACCCCCCTGGACAGAGCCCCCAGAGACATTGTCTGTGATCTCTGTCCATGGAAAAGAGTTTTCAATCCTACAGGATGAATTACAAGCTCTGAGTGTTTGATATGAGTAATAATTAAGTGTGGCACAGGTGCAAAAGTAAAATTTTAGGATTCTAGATTAGGGGTTCAGAGGGGACAAGATGGAGGAAATTGGGTGTGTCTTGTCCTTTTTCTCCTTCTTCATGCCCTCCATGTTTCACTGTGGTGTTGGCATTTTTCTGTTGGTTCAGGCTGGGGACACACTGTCCAACGTAGGTGACAGATATTGGCACGTTATTGTAAATCCAGCACAGGTAGTTTGTGGTATTTAATGTTTGTACCATCCCACTGAGGGCAGAGCCCCACACGCTGCCCTGCAGGACAGAGCTGCGGCAGGGCAGCAGAACATGTTAGAGATAAACAGAATAAACAACCTTGAAACCAGCACAGACGAATTATGGCTTCTTCTTTGGCAATGGGGCAGAGAGAAAGAGACTTTCTACAATCTCAGGATCATCAATACCTCAGATTCCGACAATCAGCAGTGACCCCACTTTAGGGGAGAGCATGTGGGGACTGTGACCCACCTTGGTGGGCTTGGCAAGGAGTGCTCTGGGCTGAGGTTTAGGTCGGCGGTGCAGCATCACCAGGCCTTGGAGAAGGGATGCTCACAACAAGGGTGGGGTGCAAACCCCCCCTCAGGCCACCCCAGCGTGCCCACCTGCACTCACCTGTTCTTCTCCAGCCACAGGAGGTACTCCCTGCCTTCGGCACGGATGCCGTAGAGGACGTGGCTCGGGTAGGTGCTCTGCATGAAAGAGAGGTGCCATCAGGGACTCAGCAGGAGCCAGAGCTGCACCAGAGGCCCCTGTCCTGCCCAGAGAGGTGGGACAGGGTCTGTGTGTGCCCTGCTGAGGGAGCGGGAGCCTGGCTGCTCACCCTGGAGGCACGCAGCAAAGACACAGGAAATCAGAAGAGAAGGAAGAAAGCATGTGGGCAATAACGCAAATCCCCGGCACATCCTGAGATGAAGAACAGGTCACCCGCAAGGAGACGGAGTCAGCAGAGTCTGGTTTCCCGTGTCTGACACATGGCTGCAGATGGCCGTGCCAGGGACTGAGGTTTCCTACTCATCAGTCACAGAGCTCCTTTTCTGGGGTCTGAGTTCAGCACTTACTCACTGGCTGAACCACAAAGATCCCTACGGCTCTTATCAGCAGAGACTTCTTCCTCCCTGCCTGATCTAACACGCCACATCACGTTTGGGGAACTGCCTTGGCTCTCCTCGGCCTCTCAGAGCACATTTTAATATCACTGTGTCCCAGATCCTGGTGGGAGGGAGCCAGGGTGGCTGTGGCCCAGCCAGCCGAGAGCCCTGAACCCTCAGGATGGAGATGTTCTTACAGGAAAAGTGTTTTCCTCTGAGCTATCCTGTGATCTGCACCTCCAGAGGCCCCATCCCATTGGGGTCTCTGGCAAAGAGTCAGGATCCCGTGTCAGGCTGTGCCCTTGCCACGAGGGATCTGAGACAGCTCCTGAGGGCACATCCACCTCTCCTGAGGGCACATCCTCAGCCCTTGCAGAATCCAGGTGTGGAGAGAGCTGAGCCAAAGGCAAAGCAAACCCTTCCCATGGGGCCAGCATTCCTCAGGGATGAGGTGTGCTGCCTCTCCCTGGGGAGGGTGACAGCACCTCTGTCATGCCATGGCTCAGCATTCCCAAGGGGATGATCTGCTCCCTGGAAGGAGCCAGGCTGGGTGGAAAGCCCTGCTGACTCAGTGCCAGCAGGGCCAGGTGAGAGGCTTTGCCTGTCACTCAGCTGCCCCATTCTCCCTGGTTTGCAGTTCCAGGCCAGCATGCCAGCGTGCTCGTGGGTCCCTGGAAAATTCTTCTCTTATGAACAGCGTCTCCCGCCTGTCCGACCCCTGTCCGCCAACAAAGCCATCCTTTGTTGTTGTTGGCAACTCCAAGGCCAGAGGAGGTCTGAAGGAATGGCAGGAAAGCGCTTGGAAGGGGGCGCTGGGTCAGCGAGCGTCTCTTGGAGACGACCGCAGGGCATGTTTAAAATAAAAAGTCCTGATAAAGCTTCTCTGAATCAGCCCCTTCCTCATTAGCATGGGCTGTGCAAGGGCTCCAGATGGGAGGGCTTTGGGAGCAGCCCTGCGAGCCCCGTGGCCGTGCTGAGCCAGCACAGCAGGGCCACAGCCAGAGCACAGGCAGAGGAGGGATTTCTTCCAGCTGGTCTCAGTAAGAGACCCAGAGAGCTTGCAGAGGATGTCCCACCCCACCTGAGCTCAGGTGGGAAGAGCCAACAGGCTTTGCACACTTTTCCAGAGTCCTTTCCATGAAGAACCCGGGTGTGACGCTCTCCCTGCTGTGCTGGTGGGAAGGCTGGCACCCAGGACATCCCGTGCTGCAGCACCCAGCTTGTGCAATGAAGCAAAGCCAGGGGGTAGCTGGTCTGCTTCAACCCTTCATTGCTGGACCAATCCCATGTGTCACTCCAGCCCCAGAAGCAGCTCCTGGTGGCCTATGCCCATCCTGGCTGCAGGAGGAGCCAGCCTGGAGAACACCCATCTCTGTCTCACAGGGGCTGGGTGGTGGCCAAACCTTGCTGAGAGCTTCTTCCCCACCCATATGAAGAAGAGCAAACCTAACCTCTCTCCAAGAGGCAGAAAAAAAGGGAAGCAGGAGACGTCCTACCCTCAACAAGGCAGGTTTGGGATGTCCAAGGACCACCCAAGCCAAGACCAAATCCAGGTGCCAGCCATCAGACAGCCCCTGAGGCAGTGCCAAGGCACACAGCCCATGGCAGATGTGTTCTCCAGAGGGATCCCGAGGTGGGAGAGCTCCCCTTTCCCAGGGATCGGTGCAGAGCCGCCCGACACGCACCCGGCACAGATGGCGTCTCTAAATAGCCCAGGGAATGTTTATCTCGTGGACAAGTTTAGGTTTCTAGAGCAGGGAAAACAGATGCTTTCGGGGAGTGTTTTTGAAGCTAGCTTATCAGGAAGGGTTTGAATCACAGAGGAACGTGCTGTATGGCACTAGGGAATACGTGTCCCCGGTCCCTCCATCCCTCCAGGCGCTAAAATCAGCGCTTTTGGGGTCTAGAAAAGGAATTAAAAAAAAAAAAAAAAAAAAAGGTTGAATTTCACTGTAAGGCAATGAGGAAAGTGTCTTTGAGGTCAAGGCATCCTACGGACGGCGACATCAAGCGCTCCAAACTCCTGACTCAAACCCTATTCCTTCCCCCAAATTGCCAGGTTTCCCAAGAAAAACAGCACTGGTTTGCTTTCATGTGGATTTCTGCAACTTTCTGGTTCTTATTTCTCTGTCCCAAAGGACAAAAAAAAAGCCCCAGCTTCAGCAAACACAGCAAGAAAAGTGCTTACAGCTCCACGAGGCTTCGCAAACCCCTCCTTAAGGAAAGACCAGATGTCACAAGATCACGGCAGTGGCACTGCTGGGTCACATCTCCAAAAAAAGCACTGGAGAAAGCAGCCCCTCTCTCCAGGAATGCACCCCGCTGTCTGCAGGTCCTAATTAGACCCAAAACAGCCCAGAAAAGTGGATCTGATCAACCACTTCAGCGTCTCCATCCTCTGGGGTGGAAGCAAGGCAAGGAAATGGGCGGCACGTCATTCTTTGGGTGCAGGGCTGAGGGGGTCTGGCCAAATGGTTGGTCCAGGGGTCCCGCTCTGAGCCGGGTGGTGGGACAAGATCCCTGCTGATTGCATCCCCCGGGCAGATTCCCCGGGAGGCAGCGAGGGCGGCTGTGCCGAGCTGTGACTCACCGGAGGCGCAGAGAGGTCCCTCTTCCCCCGGGGCACCGGCAGCTCCCGCGGCAGCACCGTCTCGTACCTCTCGACGTGCGGCAGCTTCTCCTCCGGCCCGGCCGTGGAGCCTGGGAAAGCCGAAGGGCTTTGAGACAGATGCCCGGGAACAGCCGAGACACAGAACATCCCGAGCTGGAAGGGTCCCACAAGGATCACCCACCCAGCTCTTGTCCCTGCCCAGACACCCCAACAATCCCACCCGGGCACCCCCGGAGCGGTGTCCAAACGCTCCTGGAGCTCTGGCAGCCCCGGGGTTGTGCCCATCCCCTGGGGGAAGCGCCTTTCCCTGACACCCACCCAAAACCATCCCCTCCCCGTCCGGCACAGCTCCACGCCGCTCCCTCGGGTCTGAAGCCGGGGGAGAACGGGAGCAGCCAGCGTGAAGGAGCAGGGATGAGCCCGAAAAGCGAGTCCTGAGATACCTGCTGGGAACGCAACTCCCCGGCAGCCCCAGGGAACCTACAGAGCGCTCAGCATCCCCTGAGAGCGAGCAAGTCCCTTTGAGGCCAGAAACCCCCGCTGCGCCCCTGGAGCGGCGACACAGAGAGGTTTTCCAGCTCCCCACGGTGATGGCACCGCGTGTGACTCGGCGTCTGGCGGCTGTGGGGGCTGCTGGGGAGAGCGGCTGGTGCCTGGGCGGCTCAGCCCCCTCCCAGCCTTCCTTGGATGTCGGAGCGCAGAATTTCTGCCATAAACGCGTCGCTTTTCCCGGGAGCCCCAAACGCCGCGTTCGGACGGGGCTGGCTGCTCGCTCTGGGGGTACCCATGGCCCGGAGCCAGATGAGTCCCGGGGGACCTCAACCGATGAATGACGGGGGACCCCCGGCTCGCCGCGGGCCACCGGTTGTCACCGTCCTGTCGCCTTCCCGAGGTGTCCGCACGGCACCGGGCGTCCCTTCTCCATCATCATCCTCCTCCTCCTCGGGTGGCGACAACAGAGGCGCACCGCGGGACTTTTTCCCCCGAGAGCCGCGGGAGGAAAGCATCCCCACGGCCGCATCCCGGTGCCTCCATCCCTCCCCGCCCGGTCCGTCCCGCGGCTGCCGCCCCCCGGGACCCCAGCTCACCGCGGGCCGGCACCGGTACCGGCAGCAGCAGCAGCAGCAGCGGCAGCAGCGGCAGCAGCGGCGGCGGGGCCATGGCTCGGAGGTCCCGCCGTGCCCCCGCTCGCCGCGCCGCCGGCAGCCCCCGCCCGCCGTGACTCACCCACGGCCGCGGACGGGACGGGGCGGGGCGCGGCGGGACGGGCCGCCCACGGCGGGCACCGGGAGCTGCGGACTGGGAACGGCGAGGGGTCACGGGTACCCGGGACTCGCCCGGGGACATCGCGGTTCGAGGAGGATCCGCGGGCACCGGGCGGTGTCCGTGGGGTAACGGGGACTGCCCACGGGGCATTGGAGGGAGGGTGGTGTGGGCACCGCGGGGCTCCGTGAGGGGGACCCCACGGGAATTGAGAAGGGTCCACAGGGACACCTGGAGGGTCCGTCAGGGAGGGAGCACTGCAGAGGGTCCACGGGCCATTGGAGCGTGTCCGTGATGTCACATGGGATGGTCCATGGGGCATCACGGGTGCCCGTGGGCCACTGGGGACTGTCCACGGGGGATTTGAGCAGGGACTGGTGTGTGGGGCACCTGGAGGGTCCCTGGGGCATTGGGCAGGGGCCACAGGGCAAAGCCTGAAGGTCTGCAGGGCACCAGAGGGTGTCCGTGGGACACTGGGGACTGTCCATGTCCGGGAGTGCTCTGTGGGGTGTCGTGGCTGGCTGTGAGGCTCCGGGGAGGGTCCAAGGGGCACGGGGGGATTGATCAGTGGGGTAGTAGAGGCTGCCCACAGGGCATTGGGGTTGGGGGATGGTCCAGGTGGCATTGGGGACTGTGTGTATGGCCTTGGGGACATGAAGGTGGGGGCCCTGGACTGGTGGGACATGTCCTGTGGCTCTGCAGGGGCACTCAGGGCGCTGGGGTGGCTGCACTGTCACAGGAAGCACTGGAGCTGCGATATCAGGGCAGATAAGCCAGGCACGTTTGTGTTTTTTGGTGTTTCAGGCCAGGGCCAACCAGGAAATGGAAATGGACACAGGCACGTGGGTGTGAACGGATTTGGGATTAGTCATCGATGGGTGCTTAGAAGTTTGCTGTTGATTTAAAAAATGAACTCTCCATGACTTCTCGTGGGATTCAGTGTTTGCTGCTGGTGCCCACCCTCTCCTGGGATCTCTCTCCCTCTGGCAAGCTGGAGGAGCAGCTGCAGGCCATGGAGCACACAGAACCTTCCCTCCAGCGAGCTCTGGGAGGTCCCTGCAAAGGAGAAGTGAGGAAGGACAGGAGCACTCGGTCCCAAGTTCCCATTCCTGCCCCCCTGGCCTCTGTGTCCCTGGCCTTGGTTAGCCCTTGTTCCTGGGAGACATTTTTCTCCCTCCCTCTATGTACCTGCTCTCAAACTGCCTCAGGCAATATTCAGATTCCCTGGAACTCCTCTGCTGCGGGCTTGGAAAGGAACTAAAAGATCACCCCATGGCATGGGCAGGGACGCCTTCCACTATCCCAGCTGGCTCCAAGCCCTGTCCAACCTGGCCTTGGACACTTCCAGGGATGGAGCATCCACAATAATTTGCACCCTGAGCTCTGTTAACAGACAAAATAAAATAATCCTGATTTTTTTGTTGTTGTTGTTGTCATTGTTTAATTTATTTTACAACACACAAACACATCACTGTACAACACAGTAAAAAAAAAAAAAAAAAAAAAAAAAAGCCACCAAAACCCCCCCACATTAGAAACATCTCAGGAGAGTGGAGAGTGGAGGCTCCCCTGTGTCCCTGGGCAGGGTTGTGTGCAGTGTGGGGCTGAGCTCACTGGGCAGGCACGGCCAGGCGGGGCAGCAGCGGCGGCGCCTTCTGGCTGCGCTCGGCCGACATGTGCTCCAGGCGCTCCGTGTAGAACCCGTTGAAGTCCAGCCTGAGGGACAAAACACACCTGAGGCAGGGGAGGTGTGAGCAGGAGCCTCCCCCAGGCCCGTGACAGCAGGCCTTAGACAGGGAAATGTCTCGGGAATCAGTCCCAAATACATCGGGAAGGACCAAATGCTCACAGCTCTCCTGCAGACCACACAGAGCTGTGTTGTGTGGACAAGGGTTGCTCAGTGTCTGCACCTTCCCAGCCACTCCCCAGCACTGCTGAAACCCCAGAGTTCACCAGCACTGAACTCTGGCACTAACTCCCACACAAAATCCACACAGCACCACAAAATGCTGGGGTTTCCATCCCCACCATCTCCTGGCTAACACCAGGATGCTTCCCACGGATCCACAATTCACCAACACGAGCAACTGGTCAGAAGGTTCTCAGCCACAACTTGGAAAAGCCTCTCCAAAGCAGTCAACACCAGGGATACCACAATCTCACCTCCCTGATAATCCAGAGTGATGCCATCCAGCCCCAAGCCTGCTGTGACCTTCCCATGGCAGATCCCAAAGCACTCACAGCCTGTGCAGCTCATGCACTCGTGTGCCCTGGATCCCTGAGCAGGCAGTCAGTGCAAGCCCATGAATCACACCAAAGTTACTCTCTCCCTTTCTCAAATTAGGCTGCTCCAGTACCAACTGAATGGGCACAATATTTGAGTTTCATGTTGCTTAACAACCTCACACAAATGGCAACATATTGTTCCTTGACATTTTTTGGTGCCTGCAGAAAACAGAGCCTCGACAGATGGAATTTATCTGTTGCTCTCTCCTGGTCGAAAAGCTTTACATTGCTTTCGTCCTGAGGACTTGGACCAGGGAAACCTGACACTGAGGTGAGAGCACTGAGCAAGTTTGGATTCAAACACAAGGCCAGGACTCACTGCTTTGAGGACCTGCTCCATTTCTAAAGCTGCTTCATTCCCAGCTCAGTGACTCACAGATTTTGCTTGCCTTCCCTTTTGGCTGTCTTTAGTTTCAAGTGGTCCCTGATAACCATTTTTTTCAGAATTTGTGTGGTGCTTCCTCAGCATGTGCTTACGTGGCAGTTTCTTGCTTTGTGGCTGATTTCAGTGGGGCTTGTACCACTTCACGTCCTGGTGACCTACTCTGAGCTCAGTTTCCTCCAAACTGGTGAAGGAAGGATGCCTGATAACCACACTGATGTCTAAGATTAACTAATCCTGCTGACAAAGCCCTCTCCACTATAGTTCTACTCCTTTTCACTCCTGGGATGTGTTGGAGTGACTGGAGAGTTCCTGCAGTTGCCAGCCCTCTGTCAGCACTGCCAAGGGAACAGCTGGAGCTGTGCCAGGAAGGTTTAGGTTGGATTTTAGGGAAAGGTTCTTCCCCCAGAGGGTGCTGGCACTGCCCAGGCTCCCCAGGGAATGGGCACAGCTCCGAGGCTGCCAGAGCTCCAGGAGCCTTTGGACACTGCTCCCAGGGTGGGATTGCTGGGGTGTCTGTGCAGGGATGGGATGGTCCTTGTTGGGTCCCTTCCACCTCAGGGTATTTTCTGATTCTAGTATGACACACCTGAGCAGGACTTGGGCACAGCAGAGGTCTGTCACCTGTGAGCTCTGAAGGAAACCCTCTGCATCTCCATCTCCTGTTGTTTGATGCCACAAATAAAATGCTTCAGTTAATCAGTACTACAAAATGAGTAAGTGTTAACCAGGAGCAAATAAACGATGAGCAAGTACCAGAACTGCGAATTTTGTTATTTATCTGACATGTTGATGATCCCTGTTGGAAAGCAGTCCCATAAAAAGGTTATAAATTAGAAGAGTGGTATATCTTACAAACTCTTCCTTGTAAACTCTCTCAAATATGTTATTTCAGATGGCAACTGTCTCCATTCTGCTTCTCAGGTTCCTGTTGCCATAGAGCCCAGGCCTCGAGCCAAGAATCCCTCCAACCTGAATGGGAGCTAAATGTCACCTCTGGGCATTCATCGTGGGGCTTCCACCCTTTAAGCCAGCCCTGAGCAGCCTATGGGATTGGAAAGGCAGGTCCCATGGGCTGTTTACACCAGGATTTCTAAGGAAATGGGGACATCTGGGTTGACAGGAAAGGTCCAGCAGCTCCAATGTCTTGGTGAAGACTCAAGTGGTCCCAGAGACTAGGGGGGGACTTGATAGTGATGCCAGTCCTGGGGCATAAGGAATAAAGGGAGGGCAAAGCACCCAGGCCCTCCTCTGAGCCTCTGGGTGCACTGAGTCACTGTCCACAGCACAGACCATGGACAGAAGCACTCTGTCACTTCTCCTTTCCCCTGAAGCAGGAAGTGCTGGTTGCAAAACCTCACCTCTCTGTATCTGGAAGAACCAGCTGCAGAGGTTTCACAGCTCAGGAGTCACCTGCTGGCCCCAGCTGACCCCCCCAGCGGGGGCTGTGACACTGATGGAGCAGCTCCTGGCTCTGGCACCCTGGGCAGGACACACAGCCAGGCTGTGGGGCGCAGCACCAGCTTGTCCCACTGTCCTTGAATTGCCATCAAGATCTCCTGGATGGAGCACCATGAACGAGCCCCTCCGTTGGAACTTGCACTGGAGATGGTAAAATTGTTAAAAAAAGGATAAAGGAGGAGAGCTGGAGCCCTGAGGAGCAGTAAATGCTCCTGCTTGGGTGATTCGACTGCTTGTGGTCCCAATCCCTGAATCTAGCCCAAGTCTGGATGCTCCTGTGACACCCAGCAGTGATGGCAGCTGGGAACAGCAGAGCTTAATCCTGCCAGCCTTTCCTACAGATGGATCCTGCCTGCAACCTACAACAGCCTGATGATGATGAACTGGCATCTCCAGGCAGATGAAGGGTGACAGAAAATGCTGAGAAGCCACACCAGCCTTTCCCAAAAGGTCTGCAGAGACTTGGCTGTCCTGGTTAGTCCTGAAAGGAACAACAACCACAGCCACACAAACAGTTTTTTTGAGAAATTCCAAGAAGAGGAGAAGACCTCTGACTCTGGTCACTTCAGAGATGGACCCAACCTGAGTTCTTAGGGCTGTGGAGAAGGGGTCCTCACCAACATTCCCATTTCATGGCCTCAGCACCACTCACAGGGGCAGCTCTGGTGGCTGGAAGCTGCTCCCCTGACAGGGGATGGAAGCAGGAGTGCTCAGAACACCAAGCAGCCCTGGGGCACTGCCAGGGGCTGTGTAAACCTGGACAAGAAGTTCCCAGAAGAAAAGGACAATTGGAAGCACAGTTTCCTGTGGGAATACTTCACCTAACAAGTGTTTGCAAAGTACCAGGAACCCTGACAGCCCTGTCAGATGCTGTCAGAAACAGCACCAGGAGGGGACAATGATCTCCTTAAAAAGCATTTCCTCTCTCTCTGCTTTCAGGTGTAGCACCTCTCAACAGAGCTGTGAGGGTATCAGCCAGCCATAAAATATATCCAGTACAGATGGACAGGGAACTGAACTTCCAGGGGGGTTTTGCATTGAAAAACCAACACAGTGGTTTTAAACCCAGCAGCAAAACTTCCATCTGCTCTCTCTCCTCCCATATCCTGTGTACCTGACTTCAATGCACTTCTGAAGGAATTCTGATTTCCAAGAAGCTGATTATTTAAATAAATGCAATATGGGAACTTAAAATAGACATTTTATTATCAAACCTTTGTGTGACTTTCTCATCTTGGAATACTTACCCTGTATTTGGAATTTGGTTTATTCACTGTCTCCACAGTGAGGCAATCCCCAGGAAAACTAACACTAAATTTACAATATTAATGGACAAATTTCATCCAATTCGAAGGAATGTGTTTTGGGGTTTTTCTAAAGCTTTGGGTTGAAATTCAAAGCAGAATGGTCTGGGTTGGAAGGGACCTCA